CGAAGGCGGGTGTGTGGTTACAGAAGGGCTGCGCGAATACTTCGGCCAGTTCGGGGAGGTGAAGGAGTGTCTGGTGATGCGGGACCCCCTGACCAAACGATCCAGGTGAGTCCTGTGACCTCCCCTGCCGCCGGGCTCGCCCCTTCCACCGCGGCCACTCACTGCCCTTGTAACCATCTGCCTCTCCCTCACTACGCGGCGCAGGGGTTTCGGCTTCGTCACTTTCATGGACCAGGCGGGGGTGGATAAAGTGCTGGCGCAGTCGCGGCACGAGCTCGACTCCAAAACAGTGAGTGGCCCTCGGGGTTTCGGGGGTCCTTTGGGAATGGGAGGCTGCCGGAGGAGAGTGAGTCAGGACTCTCTCCTGGGGACAGTTGGGATGGGGCTCTGAAGGAGAGAGGGAGTTTTCTGAGAACCAGAGCTGTCATGCTCTGAAACTTTATCAGTAGAGTTGGGGGCAGAGGGAGGGAGGAAGGAAAAAAAATTCCCAGGCCTGGTCTGGGATAAGATGCCACACACACCCACTCGGGTACTGGCGAGGGAAGCAGCAACTACTACCCTCTCTCTGTGAGTACTGACTGATCTTGATACCTGAGGGTTTGGGGCCCTCTCCTACCCCAGATCGAGTTGAGTCAGGGTTGCAGTGACCCACAGTGACTTCTCTGAAATCTAACTACTGTTTGACTCTGTGACACCCCCTTTTCCATTCCAGACCAATGGCAAAGCATCACAGAGCCCCCTTCCCTGTCTCCTTCCCTCCTTTGGTCAGTGAGCTCCTTGCTTTGTGTGAAGACATGCACCATCTCTGCCCTTACAGGGGATTTATGAACCTGGAGCTAGCTTGCATGGGGGAAAAAAAGTCCTGAAGACTAGATCTTAGGAGAAGCCGCTCGTTTGGCATTCAAACTCCTGGAACATTTTGCTGCTTTCCCACTGCTCCCCAGTGTCTTGGACCCTGCAGGGGGCGCTGGCGGAGGCCAGCTCGGGGGTTCCACAAGGAAAAGGAGAAAATCAGAGGAAGGCTTACTTGGTGATGGGGGTGACTGTTGGCCAGGGGGCCGGGACAGTGTAACCTCTCTCCACACTCCCCCATTCTTCTTCAGCCCTGGGCCTCCCTGCTTGGGCCAGTTACTGGCTCCTGTTTACCTGCAACAATGGCTGGTTGTGCCCAAGAATTTGTTAAATTACCGTCTGTCCCCGCTCCTCTTATCTCTGCCCAGTGGCTCCCACTCCTGCTCACAGTAATGAGCAAATGAGGCCAGGCCTCGACTTTGCCTGCCATGAAAGGATCTTCTTGGCTCAGCCTGAGTGACCCAGGCTGGGAAAGGAGAGACAGTGGCCTATTGTTTTTGGCGATTATCTGCCATCAAGCTGCCTGTTCTCCTACCATCCCCTGTCCTCAGAATGCACTGGTGGCTTCTGCTGCTCTCAGGAAGCTGAGTTTAGGGGTTGGGGCTGGGGGCTGGAGGAGTTGCAAGATTGATAAGGGAAAGGGGGATGGTCGATGGTGAGATGGGTATCCTTAGGAGATGGAGACTGCCAACCGCAAGGGCTTTGTCTGTGTTTAGCATCTCAGGGCTGGGGAAAGGGGGCGGGAAGGAGTCTATTTTGGGTCCTGACTTTCACCTTTTATTTACTTGTTGGGTTTTATTTATGTTGCCAGCTGTGAGTCAGAGTGGAGGTGGTGTGTGTGTGTGTGTGTGTGTGTGTGTGTGTGTTGCAATTTAGTGTATGTGGGTCTGGGGGAGTATGGCTTGGGTACTGTCTCTCCATCAGGGTCCACGCATTGAGGTATGTAGGTAGGTGGCTGGGGAGGCTGCATCTGGGAGAAATAAAAGGATGAGAATGCCCATAGAGGTATGAAATCAGAACTTCAGGCGGGAAGTGCATGGTTTTGATTTTCACTAGAGATCACAGAACCTTTGCTGGACGGAGGGACATTGCCTTCCGTCTCTGGGCAGATTCCAGTAGGGGAGCTGGCAAAATTCTGCTTCCTAGTTCATGCCATGCAGGCAGAGGGAAGCTGGGGCCAATTGTCTAGAACCAGGCCGAGTTTTGAATGGAAGGAACTTTGGGAAAAGGTAGATCTTGCCTGTGATTGGCTGGTTAACTTCTAAATGATGTTTGTCCATGTGAGTGCCAAGAAATTGGCATGACCAAGCCACATAGGTTCTGTGGTGCTCACAGAGTGTCATGTTCTGTTTCTGATGGTCTTGTCAGCATGGCTTGAGCACCCAGGTGCATCCTGGTTTCATTCCCTCTGGTTGTTCATAGTCAAGGGCAAAGGTAGCCTTCTGGTAGTGGCACCTTTGTTTGTGCAGTGAAGGGACGTTCACAAAGGGCCGCTTTCACCCTTTATCTCATTTGGGGTCCTCCCCCTGCCCCTGCAGCTGCCCTCAGCAGGAGTGGCCATGATTGTCCCCACTTTGCAGATGAGGGAACTGAGGCAGGTGAAGAAGCTTCCAAGATCACAGGCTTGGCCTGAAGCCCAAAGTTTCTAAGTCCAAGTCCCATACCCTTTCACACCACTAAAGACTGCGGCCTGCCTTACCTGGAGCCTGGTGGCACTATCGGGCTGTTTTCCTGAAGCCTCTAGGAGGTCTTGTCAAAGGTTGGAGGTAGTGAGGAAACAGACTGAGTCTATTCCTGTAGGGTCTGGACTCTCACCTTCTAGTCCTCTTCAGGCAGAGAATCTGTGCTTGCAAAGTCAGAAATGGCATGCATCACCGAGGCAGTAGGTCACGGTTTAGACACCCGTGTGGAGTTAGTTGTCTGTTTGGGGAGACCTTAGTGTATCTGATACTTGGTGAAGTAAGACTTGCATTACTTGTTTTTTTTTTTTTTTTTCTCTGTGAGCTAGACACTGTATCACATGCTCTCTGTGCATTATCTGAAGTAATCTGCAGGTGACCCTTTGGATTGGTGTTAGTTGTTAATGTATCGAGGGAACTTGACCTTGAAGCTCTGCAAAGTTAAATAACTTAGCCTGGGTATCTCAGCTAGAAAGTGGCATCTTTGGGACTTGAACTTGTGTGTTCCTGCCCAAAGCTATTGTTGTTATTCTTCTGTGTCCTGGGATGAATGAGACTGGAGGCTGTGTGGCCACCCAAGGCTGTATGTGATACCCAAGACCCCTTATGTGTCCCCTTCTATGTCTCTTGCAGATTGACCCCAAGGTGGCCTTTCCTCGAAGAGCACAGCCCAAGGTAGGTGTGCAGAAGTGTGTCTGTGTTGGTGGGGGGGGGGTGTGCTCCTTTATCTTGGGCAATTCCGGGTAATGGTTTTCCCAGCATTCTCTTCTGTGGCAGATGCTGCTGGAACCTCTGTTTGGAGTGTTTCTGGAATGTGCTGGGGTGAGGACGGAGGATTAGAGTGAAGACACTGTGCACCTTTCCACCTTGTGCTGGGGTGGGCAGTGGATAGGTGTTGGAAGAGAGGAGGTCATGTTGTTGTCCTGCATTTGAAGCCAATACAGTTTGGACCCTGAGTGTAGTTCTAACCTCGTAGGTCATAGTCTGCAACCCTGAGTCTTGGAGGGGCAAACACAGGGTGGGCTTGTTCTAGCCGTGGATGAGAGAGCATCGAGCCTCTGGCTTCAGGTCACCCTCTTGTCTCTGAGGTGTGTTGTGCTTTTGGAGGGGAAGGGAGGTGGGAAACCCTTCATCTGTCACCTGTTGTGATTTTAACTCCAGCATTTGGGGCTTTCAAAGGTTTTCTTCTAGGATGAGGGGTGGGCAGAAGAGTTCTGAGCAATTGAGCAAAAGAGTACTCAAAACTCCTGATGCGGGTAAGGACTTTAGATTTGATCCCAGACATCGTGGCAACTGACCAGATCTTGGTTTTTAAGCCATCGACTTATGGGGATGGGAAGAAAGGCCAAGTATAGTACAAGGAGTCTGGACCCCTGAGTTTGCTGGGTGATCCTTCTCCAGGACATCTCATTCTCCCCCTTGGTGGCAACTAAGGTGCTCTGAGATTGTGAACCATGAATTCCATCAAGGCTGCCAGCTCCTGCTGGGGCAGAGGAAAAGAAGTTTTAGGAGACAGAAAGGGCCATCTCTGGACAGGGTCCAGCAGAGGGTCTGTAAGCAGTTATGGAGCAGGTATTCGAAGGAAGCTTCACCAGGGAGCACATGGTCGGAATTGGGTTAATTCCATTAAGCAGTTTGGTGACAGAAGGTGCCTTAGTGTTAGGATGGGGCTGGGAATTGCCTCGGATTAGCCATGCGCTCCTGGGGTAATTAGGACCATGTGTTCTTCCTAAAACAGGGCTGAGGCCACTGGGCTGCCAGAGGTTGGATTGGGAGGAAGGTTGATGAGGAAAATGTCGATGTTAAGTTTGGTAACACCCTGTGGTGGCTTTGGTGTCCCCCAGGAGGACTGGTGAAGTCTTCGTGCTGGGCACTGGGTCTGGGCTATTGGCATATCCCTCACCCCCTTCCTTGTATAGTTCCTTAGGGAAGGCATTTTCCCTACACAGACTCCAGGGAGGGAGGCACACTCAAGCCAGCCAGGGTGTGGGGTACACAGCTGGCTATGACAGGCCTAGAGGCAGGAGTCCAACGGGGAGCTTGGAAGGGGGCCTTGGAGAAGCTGGGGCCACCGAGAGCTTGTCAGCTGGCATCCTGGCAGGGGGAAACCCCCCTCCCCAGCCCCTGCTGGTGGCGGTAGGCCACAGGACTCACATGCCTACTTTTTCATTCCTTCCCCTAACAGATGGTCACTCGAACGAAGAAGATCTTCGTGGGGGGGCTGTCGGTGAACACCACAGTAGAGGATGTGAAGCAGTATTTTGAGCAGTTCGGAAAGGTAGGTCTTCACCGGGGTGCAGTGCTGGGACTGGGAAAACACCAGAGAACAGATCAGGCCAGGTTGGGGGTGACAGTCAGGTCACCCCAGTTCCTGCAGCAGGCAAAGGAGGGCCTGAACCTCCCACAGGTGAGGGCAGACCTTGTCACAGTTTGGGCTCCCCGATCCATCTATGGGCTTCAGACTCTGGGCCTCTCTGGGGAGAGGAAGCCGCCTAGTAGAGTCTCTCTCATTACCCTTCCTCTGTATTTTTCTCCTGCGTCTCTTGAGTCTCCCAAGGGAGGAGGTGCTCCTGTAGCCAGTTCAATCCAGTCCTCCCCTTAGCCTCCTGGGAGCTTGCACCTGTCCAGGCCACAGGCAGCTGCACCTTCTGTCCCCCACCCCTTCATGGGGAGGATGATAAGACGGGCAATAAATAAGAATCCTTATTGCCTTGGGTACCCTGCCTAACCAGGTGGGGAGCTGGGGATGGCTGCTGATCCCTTAGGTATTGGAACTGAAGAAAACATCCCAAAGTCATCTCTAAACCAGATAGATGACTGGCTCTCAGGTCTTGGGTGTGTCCTTGAGATTTCATTTCTGTGCCTTGGAAGAGGTAGGCCATGAAAAGGTGTGGTACCACTAAGACAATAAAGACAATAAAGGTAACCCTAGAAAATCAGGCAGTGCAAACTTCAAGGTTCCATGGGGAAATGTCAAAAGAGTAGTTGTCTGGAGTGCAGGGGTGAAGGAGGGCCGGCAGCCTGCTTGAGTGTTTCAGGTGGGATAGGCCAAAGAGGTTGGGTCCCTTGCAGTCTCCATCATGGCCTATGAATTTCCTAGCAGGCCAAGCTGGACCAGGCTTGGGAAATAGATAGTGAACTGTGGCTGGGTGGGGGGTCTGCAGGCCAGAGGATGCTGACGTGTTGGGGCCAGAGGCCTTGGCTCAGGCGACTCCTTGGGGACCTGGGTCCAAGATGCAGGGCAGGCAGAGCCTGGGCCCCAGAGGGAAGGGCGCTCCTGGGAAGCTGCAGGCCCGGCTCGGCTCCGGCGGGGTGTCTTTGTGTCTGAGCACCGAGCATTAGAGCCCGCACTAATCTGATCCAGCAGCTGTGATTGGAGGCCGCCTGCCCCCGGGGCCGGCGTTGCCATGGCAACCGGGCCCCAGGAGAAGCCGTCAGCGGCCGCGTCTTTTGTTCGGGCCTAAATCGGCGTTGGCATGTGAAACCGGCCCGGGGAGGCCAGGGGGAGCTGGAGAATAGGCTGCCAGGGAGCGAGGGGGACAGCCGGGAATGCCAAGGGCCCCGCGGCTGGGGGGCCACCCTCCCCCCGGATCGAGGGGCCGCCACCGAGGGGGGAACAATGGTCAGCCGCCATGGCTGCCACTCAGGCTTAGCCGCCGCCGAACTTGGCGGCTCCCACTGGTCAGCAGGCCTCGGTCGCCTCCCCTCCCCCCTCCGGAGCCCCCCTGCCCCCAGGTTCCCATGGAGACCAAAGCCTATTAAGGACACTGGGCTGGTAGCCTCCCTTCCCTCAGCTGGCCCCAGGAGGGGGACACCATTGGTGTGGGGGTACCCCGGACCCCCAGTCACTTTCCTCAGGGGCCTACCCCAGCCTCACCCCACCGCCTCAGTGTGGGTCTGTCCAGCCAAGCCCAGCTTGAAGGACGTTGGGGACCAAGGATACCGAGTTTGGAAGGTTGGGTGGAAGAGGGCCGGAAGGACTAGATTTGACCTGAATCAGTTTGTGGGTCAGGCAAGAAACCCAAAGCTGCAGGATTAAGGAGGAAGGGTGTGGCTGGTTTTTTTCTGTTCATTCACTCATCCATTCAAAAAATAATTAATTGAGCACAAGTCAAGATGCTCGGTAGAATAGTGATGTCGATTATAACTGACGCAGCTGTCCTGTTGGGACTGTGGGCAGGTCCCTCCATGATAAAGATAATAACAACTGCTACTTACCGGGTGCATCCTGAACCCCGGCGACCGGAAGTTGAGTATTCCATGTCCTCCTTACACGTAACTCCTCCAAGTAGTAGTCTCTATTAATACCCATTTTACAGATGGAGGGATCAAAGTCATAGAAACCTAAAGCCATTTACCCAAGGATGCTCAGTCAGCAAACAGTATCCAAGCTGCCAGCTCACGCCTGCTCTGCCGCAAGTTTCCATCAGACCCTCCTGGGTTTCCATTTTCCAATGCTTAGGTTAGGGATGAAGTGTGCCGACCTTCAGCCTGAAGATCAGCTTACCTGCTGACTTGGGGTCAGAGATATGAATGAATGTGGCCATCGCTAGGGAGCAGAGATGGCATTCTGCTGCTGGAAACTGTCCTTTTCCACGGAGATTCTCCAGAACCCCACTGTCTACTAGTTCAGTGGGGTCTCTGTTCCCTCTGGGAAAAACCAGAGGCCTGGTCTAGATTGACCCCTAAGGAGAGCTTCCGGGTTCTCGAAGGAGGCCCACCCTAGTTCTGGGTCTGCACTTCCTTCGTTAATGAGGCCTGAGAGGCATCTTTTAAGGCAGATGAAGGGCCTGAAGTAGGGGTGGGGGCAGGCTGTGCCTCCCAGTCTGAGGACTTTCTCCTGCCTTTAGGAGTCAGGTCAGTGGCTCAGAGGTAGGCTAAGAAGGAGGGAAGGCAAAGTGGTGAGACAACGAAGGTTGTCCGGAGAGGATGTCTGGAGGGAGTAACGAGGAGCTGTGGCGCTGTGGCGGCTGGGGTTCAGGAGAGTATAGCTGATGTTGACCCTCCCTCCCCCACCTCTTCCCCTCCCCCAGCCAGTGCAAGGCAAGCAGCTCAGGCAGTGAACTCTACTTGCTTTAATTACAGCCTCTAGCTAAAGGAAACCTCAATTAGAGAACAGATCTGTAGCAGAAGGGAGTCTGGCTGCTGGCCTTTTCCAAAAAGGGAAGAGGCTTTGGTTTTCCCACCTCACAATCTTGCTCCCCCATATTTCTTCCCCTAGCACCTACTTTGTGCCTTTTCCTCCCTGGCTTGTGCAGGCAGAACTTGCTGTGAGATCTTGGGCAGGCAACTTCAGCTCTCTGAACCAATTTCCTTTAGCTGTACAGTGGGGATGAGCCTGTGTAGGCAATGTTGTGATGATAGAAGACAAGTGCCAGGCATACATTGGAGTCTAATAAATACAGGCTGATCTGTTGAGAATCTGGTGATTGACTCTGGTGTGCTGTGATGTCTAGGATGCTGTCCCCTGAGAGAGCAGGTTTAAGATAAAGCCTGGAGTAGACAATAGGGGTGTGTGTAGGTTTGGGGAGCCCCAGTTGTCTGTGGGTCCTAACACAGCAGTCTGTGTTTCAGGTGGATGATGCCATGCTGATGTTCGACAAAACCACCAACAGGCACAGAGGTAAGTGTGGCCCCTCCCCCTTCCCAGGCTGGGCTGGGGCCTGTGGTCAGTCAGGGGGGCTACAGGTCACAGCTGCCCTTTCATGTTGCCTCCTGACATCCTATCCTTGCGGATCTGAGTCCTCTCCAGGGTCTGGCCTCACAGAAGGCTTTTGTCTTCCTCTTTCCTGCACTCGAAACTTTGCCAATTGCAGACACAACGCAAGGAGCCAAGGACACCCCCAGCAGTACCATGTGCCTCTCCTTGGACAGTGTCTGTTCCTGTCCCAGCTTACCTTGTCCCTGGTTACCAGAGCAGAGGCTGCCACAGGGTCAGGTTGACTCTATAGCCTCAGGCAGTCTGCTCGGCCACCACCCCCACCCCAAGCTAAGCCCAGGCCCCCAAGTTCTCTTGGTCCTGAACCTGGTCACATCTGGGCTTCTCTGCTGTGTCCTGCCTGGTGATTTTCTCCCAAGGGTCTTGCCTTCTGAGAAATCCCAGCCCAATCCTGGGTTTTAGCTTCTTTGGGCAGTGTGGTGTGAGCTGTGAGTGTGGTGAGTGGGGTCTGCGTGTGCTTAGTATGTCAGGGCAAGTACACCTGTAGAGTGTCCTTGAGTGTTGGTGAGATGGGGTTTGCATGTATACATACATGTTCTCTTGAGTGCAGCTAAGGGAAAATAAAAGGCGTGTTAGATGTAGGGTCATTCCTCTTTCTATGGATTTTTGCATTTTTGGGTTCAAGCAACCTCAGTTTATAAAGACAACCCCCCCCAAAAGAAATGATATCTAAAGGGCTGAGAATACAGATGCAAGACCCTGTTTCTATCTTCAGCACTGAAAAAAGAAAAGAAAAAATAAATAAAAGAGAAGGCCTCCCAAGCCCTGTCACATCTGTACTGAGTACAGATGTTTTTCTTGCTACTTCTTTGAACCATGGGGTGCAGTGGGGTTTTTGGAGCACTTATATTGTGCTGGGCACTAAAAGAGCCCTAGATAGGATTTGAAGTTCACTTGAAGGGCATGCATGATCCTATGGAAATGTGCCATTCTGTATAAAGAACTTGAGCAAGGCATAGATTTGGGGGTCAGGGTGGACACCTAGAATCCTTACCCTCTGATTCCAAAGGATGATTGTATTTTTCATGGTGGCTCTGCCACTTAAAAAAGATTTATTCGTGTGTGTGTGTGTGTGTGTGTGTGTGTGTGTGTGTGTGTGTGTGTGTGTGTGTCCTCAGAGGCCAGCTGGAGTTACAGGAAGTAATGGAACAGCCCAATGGGAGTGTGTGTGGGGAATTGAACTCAGTGCTCTTAGCTACTGAGCCATCCCTACCACTTTCTAACTTGGCTGTGTGACCTTGGACAGGTTAGTTCACCTCTCTGAGCCTTGATCGGCTTCTTCATCTGTAATTTGGGACTTGAAGCCTTGACTCAGCCAGTCAGCAGTTGTGATGCTCTTAGGCTGTGGGCAGGGCCTTTCATTAACTCTCAGACACTTGCCCGCAAGAGATGAGCTGTGGTGTATATGTGGCATGGGGCTGGCTGGGTGTTGAACATGAGCCCCGGTTCTGACCCTGCCTTTGCCCCTTGTCCAACCTCTAGGGTTCGGGTTTGTCACGTTCGAGAGTGAGGACATTGTAGAGAAAGTATGTGAGATCCACTTCCATGAAATCAACAACAAAATGGTGAGCTGGGACTAGATGGAGGTTGGGGATCGACCAAAGCCCCTTCTGCACCCTTGAGGATGCAAACAGGAAGTCAGTGTCACGGGGTGGTCCCTCTCAGAGCCTGAGTTTTTATAAAATGGGAATCCCAGTTTCACGTCACGGCACATCTGTAATCGAAACTTTCTGGAGAAGGGCAAGGCTAGCCTGTTTTACATAGCAAGTTGTGGGCTAGCCAGAGCTACACAGTAAGACCCTGCCTCAAAATAAATAAGTAAATAAATGTATTTAATTAAAACTAAAGATAAATCAAATAGGAATCACAGTACGTGTTCACCGTATCTTGGACGTGAGCGTTCAGTGAAGGAACTAGTGTATGCAAAGCCCGTTAGACATAGCGAGTGCTCCAGAAAAGATAACTGGATAAGTGATAAAGAGGCCCGCCGCCTGTAGAGCAGGAATCGCTGACCATCAGGTTTTATTGCAGGTGGAATGCAAGAAAGCTCAGCCAAAGGAGGTGATGTCCCCGACGGGCTCAGCCCGGGGCAGGTCTCGAGTCATGCCCTACGGAATGGACGCCTTCATGCTGGGCATCGGCATGCTGGGTACGTGCTCAGCCAACACCTGTGGCGGCTTCTTGCCGAGAACAGCTCCTGGGGCTCCTGGAGCTTGGGGATGGGCGGGGCTGTGTGGGTGTGGCTTCTCTGTGGTCTGCTCTCCTGTCTGAGTAATGGCAAAGCTGCTTCAGACCTGGCAGGCCAGTTTGGTGTGGAGCACTGCCCTCTTGTGGTAGCTCCAATACAGTCCACCCGCTCCATGTTATTCGGGCCTCTTCCCATCCATTTGCCCATACTCTGTGTCGGATTATCTGTAATCCTATGTGTGCCCGTCCTCTGCCGGGAATTCCAGCAGTGGCTGCCTTGAGATTTGTGGTTTGTCAGTGAAAACAAACAAGAAGACAGATAAATTTAGGATGAAGTATAGGATACCAGGAGAGTGTGCTCATAGGGAAGTGGACAAAGACGCTGGAGAACCTGGAACTAGTGAGTTATTCCGAGTCTGCAGGGGTGAGTGGGTGCCCGTGGTGGGAGGTCAGGGAGAGGAAGACTGCCTCTTCTTACTCAGCTAAATTTATTATTTATTTTTATACTCCATTTGTTACTGGGATGTCTCATCTGTGCAAAGTAGACTTCAGCTCGGTCACTCTGACTCCTAGGGCCAGCATCTTCTGAGGATAGCAGTTTTCACTTCTATCTTTTGCATTCTGCTTGTGTGTACACCTTGGTGATGTCATTGTACCTTCCATCAGAGGCCTGGTAGTAGAGATTGGTGGCGTGAGATGTGGCCTTTCTTTCTCAAAGGGGAATAGGCTGGGGTCCTGCTTCGTGGCCTCAGTGTAGAGCTCTGGAGGCTCAAGCTTCGGTTCCTGCAGCTCTTCTTGCTGGGCTTCCAGTGTGGCTCTGATGGCGTCCCGTCCCTCTCTGCCTCATGCTCCTGTCTCAAAAATAAAAAAACAATAAATATTAATAATAATAGTAATGAAACACATCTTGGAAAGAAGTGCAACCCTGGATGTTCTGGAACCTGCTGTGTAGACCAGACTGGCCTTAAATTCACTCTGCAGACCAGGCTGGCTTTAAACTCACAGAGCTTTGCCTACCTCTGCCTATCTCTGCCTCCGAGGGCTTTAGAGCACTTTTTAATTTTTAAAATGTTATTTGTGTGTGTGTGTGTGTGTGTGTGTGTGTGTGTGTGTGTGTGTGGTGTGTGCACTCCAGTGTACATGCCTGGTGGCACACCTGCGGAGGTCAGGACAGTTGTATCAGTTCTCACCTTTCTTCTTCGTGTGGGTTTAAATCAGATTATCAGGCCTGCTTAGCAAGTGCTTCACCCTCTGAGCCATCTCGCAGGCTCCCCCCAACTTTTTATTTATTCATTGTGATTGTGTGTATATGAGAGCAGGTGCACACGGGTCAGAGGTACACATGGAGGTCAGAGAACAACTTTGAAGAGTCGCATCCTCCTTCCCACAGTGGACTCTGCTGGGTACAAACCCAGTGTGTCAGGGGTGGGGCTCTTACCACTGAGCTGACCTTCTGGCCTCACCTCATGGTGTAGTGGTCAGGGTTAGAATTTTATATCGATGAAATATATTCATTTAATGTACTATCTTCCACTATTGTTAGTTCCCAGATTTTTTTTGCTGTTGCCAGATTGTTTGAGACAGGGTCTCACTTTGTAGCCCTGGCTGTCCTGGATCAGGCTAGATTCACAGCAATGCCTCTGCCTCTCAAGGGCTGAGATAAAGGTATGTGCCATCATGCCTGGCTTTTTTGTTTTATTTATTTATGATTTTACAAGACAGGGTTTCTCTGTGCAGCCCTGGCTGTCCTGGGACTCACTCTGTAGACCAGGCTGGCCTTGAACTCACAGCAATCCGCCTGCCTCTGCCTTCCTGGGATTAAAGGCGTGAGTCACCACCGCCAGGCTTTATTTTATTTTATTTAAATTATTTTGAGATGGACCCATGTAGCCCAGGGGAGTCTAAAACTCATGTGTAGCCAAGGAAGACCTTGAACTACTGAGATGCCTGGCTGGTATGTGTCATGCTGGAGGCAGAGCTTTGTTTATACCCAGGAAGCCTTCTAAGTGAAGAGCCTACCCACCTCCACGGTAGTTCTTTCTAGTAGATCCTGGCCCTCCCAGAGCCAGATGGGACTGGAATGAGGCATCTCACTGTCTTGTCTCTTGTCCTCACTTCCATCTCGCTTTGAGAAATGCCTTTGTTGTTTGTGGCTTAAGTGATTTGTGAGCTTCTTTACCCTCACTTCCAACACTAAAATGTAAGAAAACCCTGTAATAAATAGTTTGACCTGGTACTGGCACAGTGGGTCAAGCTCTGCTGTGTAGTCATGGCGACGAGGCTCACATCTGTAACCTCTGTGCTGGGGGCTCACTCATCATCCGGTCTAGTCAATCAGTTAGTTCCAGGCTCAGTGAGAGACACTGCCTCAAAATAAAATGGAAAAGGACACCCAGCAGCAGCCCTTGAGAACACACATGTGTGTACCCTGGTACAACACACACACACACACACACACACACACACACACACACACACGAAACTTAAAAAAAATAATAAAAGAAGTGAGGTGGTAAAGTACCTGGGAGCTCCATTATTGCTGATAGAGGGTTTTTCTTTTTTCTTTGGGGAGGTAGACTGTAAGCCCCTACAGAAATCATGAGATGACCTGGTAGAAACTGTAGCCTCCCGGCAGAAAGCTTTGAGTCGGGAGGCCCGACTGACACTAGCATAGCAAGGCCTTGGTGATCTCATGGGGAATGGCACAGCCCAAGATGACAGTGGTTGCAAAGGCTCTGGGCTGAGCTCTGCAAACTGGAAAAGCAGCAAGTCAGTGTGGCTGGAGAGGTGGGAAGAAGCCGAGTGTGGGAAATGAGGACCAGAAGGTGGGAGCCGAAGTGGGAAGGAGTTGGGTGACAGGGTTGCATTGTTGTCTGTCCGAGTCGCCTCTCTGTGCCTCAGTTTCCATGCCTGTACACTGAGGCTCCTTGTGATGTCTCCCTGTTACAGTAGGATGGAATATGAGCAGCCCAGATCCAAGCCAGCTGTGGGCAAGGCGACTATCTCATACTGCCCCTTTGTCCCATCAGGTTACCCAGGTTTCCAAGCCACCACCTACGCCAGCCGGAGTTACACAGGCCTTGCCCCTGGTTATACCTACCAGTTTCCCGGTAAGTCCTGCTGGGTAGCCCTCTGCCTCTAGCATGTCTCCAGTTCCCAGGCAGTGTGAACTCCTCAGGGTGGTGGTGTCTGGGGTGCATGGCTGGGGGTCTACCTACTGGAGGCTTGGAAGGAAGGGCATGTCTGAGGAAGGAAGTCCCCCCTCCACCCCCCTCCACAGAAGGTGAGAGTTGGGGCGCCAGGTGTGGCCCTGCATGGTACAGTTCTCACCCAGCCATTTATTCTGTCTGTCTTCTGCCTTTCTCCAATCCCTACCCGACTCCAGGACTGCCACTTCTACCAAAGACAGCACTGGACTAGCAGTGGGGGTTTCCCCAAGGGTGAATCAGGCCTTCACAAATATACTTAAAGGTGTTGTTCTGAGTCCTTACAGGGTCACACAGCCTGAGAACCTACATACTAAACCTCAGAGCTGACGTCATCACCATCGTTTATAATTCAGTGTAAAGAGAACACTAGACCCGTTATTTAAACAAATTTCAACAGAATTCTGGGCTGTCCTGCTGCTGTTTAATATTGTTTTCCTGTAAGTCTCAAAGCATTCCTAGGCCCTTATTTACGTAGTGCTGAGAATGGACTCGGGACCTCACACATGCTAGGCCAGGACTCTGGCAGAGCCACAGCCCTCAGTATTTGTCTTTGAAACAGAGTCTCCTGTAGCCTAGATTGGCTTCACATTCACCATGTAGCCATGTTCACCTCTTTAGTGCCGTGATTCCAGGTCAGGCACCCCAGCCCCCCACACCCGCCTCCAGCACTGGGAATTGAACCTACTGCCTTAGGAGTGTTAGGCAAATGCTCTACCACTGAGCTACACCCCAGTCTATCTGGGTAGCACCGACTGGAGGGCTCCCTAAGCGTTTGTATCCTCTGCTCTTGGGCTGTTTAACTCGGAGTCCTGAGTATGCATGTTGTCCCACCCTCTCAGGAATCCCATTTTATAGACTAACAAACCAGCTGTTGAGGGAGGACAGGATTTGACTGGGAAGTGGTATCACTAGGACCTAAGCCCACTCAAGAACACTGGCTGTTCTAGGGGGGTGGTTTGCAGCCGCCAGTAACTCCAGTTGGCAGGGGATCTAAAAACCTCCTGTCAACTTGAACCAGGTGTGCACGTGGTACGCATATATACATGTAGGCAAAATACTCATACACACACAATACACACACATACACACACACACACACATATGTATACACACACACACACATATGTATACA